GATAAAGGTTAATACTGAAAATAAAAGAATTTGGACACATGTCCAGAAGACTGTTGTTGACAGTCAGAATAATGAGTTAGAAAATATTGTCACGTGTTGCCTATGCATCGCAACAAATAACTTCACTCCGGTCTTGGATCTAGCGAATTTATTGTGCACTTTTATCCACACTTACATAACTCACAACTTCAGTATCCCAATTACTTCTCCTGCCATAGTGACTTCCAGGCTCAACTGTTTTGAACTGACACTGACACTGTCTTGATTCCACTCACTCAGTACAACTCAACAACTTGTAACTGCTAGAATTCAACTCTGCTGAATACTCCAAATACTAACTGGCTTCAGTGGCTGCTACATTTCAACTAACTCCNGATAAAGGTTAATACTGAAAATAAAAGAATTTGGACACATGTCCAGAAGACTGTTGTTGACAGTCAGAATAATGAGTTAGAAAATATTGTCACGTGTTGCCTATGCATCGCAACAAATAACTTCACTCCGGTCTTGGATCTAGCGAATTTATTGTGCACTTTTATCCACACTTACATAACTCACAACATCAGTTTCCTAATTACTTCTCCTGCCATAGTGACTTCCAGGCTCAACTGTTTTCATCTGACACTGACACTGTCTTGAGTCCATTCACTCAATACAACTCAACAACTTGTAAACTCCTTAGGCATTCCAGTCTCTCTTATAAACCCTCAGTCAGACAGCAGCAAATGCACCTCACTTCACTGTTGCATAATCACTGTGTTTACAGAGCCATTGCTGGGCAACTCTGCATAGCAACAAGCACACTTCAGCTCAGCTAGGCACGGCATGGAGAAACACTGCTTTCCTTACTGTTGTGTAACCTCATGCTACTGTTGCGTAACTTGCAACCGAACTTTTATCAAGAGTCTGTCTTCGTGGTAACTCGTTCCACATCCCGTTGCCCAGCAATGGTTTGACATGTCAAACTGCTCCCTTCTTAAGGCTGTTCGTCCTGAATAACCTAACAGTGCATCACCGGTACTTTCCTTCTGAGGCTATACTTGCATCATCTTTTTGTCTGGCTCTGTGTTTCTTTTCTTCCCATCGTCCATTCTCCAACCACTACATCCACTCCCTCCTTAAGACCAGCTGGTCTTGAGCAGTTTCCTACTAACGTGCCAGGAGATCCAGTTGTATCACAATCATCCCTCACTTTCTCTCTTGCTCATGCACTCTCTCTGGGGAGGCCAGTGCTTCTACATTACTGACTCCTCCTCTGTGTTAATGTTTCTTCTTTCTCCACTTTGGAGGGGGCCTACCCCTCCACAGGTTACATTTCCTCACTTTTCGTAACCCATTGGAAGTACTGACTACTTGTTTTGCGATCTTTCCTCTGAAAATCTCATTGATGGTCTTCTTGTTCATTTCTCCACTTCCCAGGTGTGATCGCTGTTCTGATCCACACCCTTTGGTGTAGTTTGTGGTTGGCTCCTTTATTCTTCTTTTGCATTGCAGGCCTCTCCAGCGTCTATTTTTCTCTGTTTGTCCTTTCCAGGTTTCTTGTTCAGAATTGACCCTGCTTGAATATTTCTTTACAAAATTTC